TTTTCTTTATTGTATTTTTCCTATTTCACTTTATTTTATTTTAATTTTTCTATGAGCATGTATTGAGGAGAACGAAGACGATCTAGGAACAGACCCGACACAGAGTTTGAACATCTTTTTGACCCTATTTTTTATTCTATATCTGTTAAAATGGACATTTCATGACATAACACAATGTCTGACAATGAGTATGATGTACCGTATAGAATTTTGTATGATTATCTGCACCCTACACGTACATCTACAGTTAACGAAATGTAAAGGTAATTACTCTGCTATTGAAAAGTTGTGTCTTACTTTATATTTCACATGTACAAAATTAAGGGCTTATTAACGTCCTGAAACTGTTTGCTTAGTTTGTAAAGTAAATTTAGTTAAATATATATTTTCTCACCCTATTTTACACCAAAAGATAGGCATTGGGATTTTAGCATTATCAGAGTTTGAAATACAATATATGCCCTAAAAGGTAGTTACAAAATAAGCGTTGGCTAACTTTTGGCCGATCATCCATGCCTCGACATGCCTGAAGAAATTGAATTGAAAATTGATTTATTTGAATAAAAACCTTGTATTTTATACTTTGACGGATCAAAAACATCTACAGGGGTAAGAATAGTTTTAATAAATCCTCTAGGGATTTATTATAAGTTTGCTTTCGCTTTGGATAGAATGTGTACCAATAATCAAGTTGAATACAAAGCATTGATCGTAGACTTAGAGCTGTTAATAGAGTTGCGAATAAAGAATGTAATTATTAAGGGCGATTCCCAATTAGTAATCTACCAATTGATAGGTGATTTGAAATGTCGAAGTGATTCTGTCATAAGTCAATATGAAATCCCCTAAGAATTATTGAAAGAATTTGATCAAGTGGAGCTTCAATATGTTAACAGGATGTATAACGATTTAGAAAACGAATTAGCCCAAATGGCATCGGGTTATTCAAAGGAGGTAAATTTGGAATCCACTTGTAAATATGAAGTAATATTGTTAGGAATGGATACTTTTGGCCCAAAATGGGAGAATCGTGCGTTCAGTACCCGAAAAGTTGTTTAGCATGCCAAAAGCATGGTTCAATACAAAGAGCGTCAGCAAGATAAATGACACTCATTATTAAACCTTGGCCATTTAAAGGTTGGACGATAGATTTGATAGGGAAGATTTATCCCCCATTGTCCAAGCAACAAACGTTTATAATAGTTGCGACAGATT